CATACACACACACACACACACACACACACACACACACACACACACACACACACACACACCAGACCCAAAGTCTATACATGCAATGAGCTTCTTTTCATACAGTCAGAATAGGCATGAAAGTTCTAAAGCTTCATATTAAAATTTACACTCTCAGTATTGAATATATATTTTGAATATGCATTTATCCAACACCAAAATAAATAAATATCAGAATCATAAGTAAAAAAAAAAAAAAAATTAATTGGGCTGGAGAGATGGCTCAGAGGTTAAGAGCACTGACTGTTCTTCCAAAGGTCCTGAGTTCAATCCCCAGCAACCACATGGTGGCTCACAACCATCTATAGTGAGATCCAGTGCCCTTTTCTGGAGTGCAGGTATACAAGCAAGTACAACACTGCATACATAATAAATAATAAATCTTAAAAAAAAAACTTTATGCTTCAGAGATTAAAAGGAGCTAGGCATGGTTAGCTCACCTGTGTAACACTACCCAGAGAGGCTGTTATAGGAAGACTAAAGTGAGTTTGAGCCCAATCTAGATTATCGCATGAGTTTCCGACCAGCCTGAATTACAGCATGAGACCTCTCTTCTGAAGGAGAGAAAGGAGGGAAAGGCGAACTTTTCAAGAAATACTTGAAACCTATAACAATGATAACCAAATAAAGTACAACAGTGAGTACTAAAATCTGGTGGAAAATATGACAATTAATATTTTGTACACCTGCATGCCAGAAGAAGCATGAGATCCCAGTGTAGATGGTTGTGAGCTACCATGCTGTTACTAGGAATTGAACTCAGGACCTCTGGAAGACCAGATAGTGCTCTTAACCACTGTGCCATCTCTCCAGCCCCCTGACTATAAATTCTTAACTCTAAAAAAACAAAAAACCTTGACCTTGTTTAGTAATGATGTTACATCAACTTTTCCTGAAAGCTCTTTCTTAATTGGAATAAATTCTCAATAGGAATAAACTGGTAGAAGCCAATCCAAACACAAACTCAAAGACCAAAATTGTAGCATATGCTTGTCATTTCAGCACTTACAGAGGATCAGGACTCAAAACCAGCCTTGTTTACATAGCAAGTTCAAGGCTACCACCCTACAATGAGACCAGGTTGGCCCCCACCCTGCAGATTTATTTAATATATAGGAGTGTTTTGACTGCATGTATGTATATATATATCACATTCATGCCCGATGCACTCAGAGGACAAAAGAGCCCCTCTCACTGACATTATAGATGGCTCTAAACCTCCATATGGGTGCTGGGAATCAAAACCAGGTTCTAAGCAAGAACTGATGCTCTTAACTGTTGAGCCATGCTCTAGCCCCAGACCAGTCTTAACAAATTAAAAAACAAACAAAAAAACTGAACACTTATAACTATTTCTATAAAAAGATTAAAAGCAATCAAAATACAAGGTCTAGAGTTGGGTATAATACACAGAAGCATTCTAAAATCTGTTTTAATATTTAGTACATCAGTCACATTAATTTTATGACACTACATATCATAATTAATATTTTAATATTAAATCTACATTCTCAAGCAAAAATAAATGTTATTTTCTTAGTATCCTACAAATAAGAAGCTTTACTGATAAACTCAGTGGTGCACACCTGTAAGCTGCAATCACTTGAAAGCTGAAGCATGAGGATCACTTGGGCCTAGGGGTAGTGAGCAACCTGCACACTGCCATGCTTCCTGCCATTCACAGTGCCAGACAAAACCTCTCAAACTGTAGGCCAGCCCCAATTAAATGTTTTCCAGCCACACATAGTGGTGCACGCTTGTAATCCCAGCACTCAGGGAGACAGAGGCAGGCAGATCTCTGTGAGTTTGAGGCCAGCAGTGTCTACAAAATGAGTCCAGGACCTCCAAGGCTACACAGAGAAACCCTGTTGCAAAAAAAATTAAAATTAAAAAAAGCTTTACACATAAGTATTCTTAAATGCCTTCAACATCAGGAATGGAGAAAAGGAGTCAAGGAGTAAGAAATGTTACACCAAATTCTTCCTAAATAAGCAAAGTACTAAAGGGGGAAAAAAACAGAATTTCATTCCTTAGAACAGGCTTTACATTGGACAAAGAAGAAAACAATCTCTCACAGATTTAAAAATTCCAATCAGGCAAGTGGGGCGTAGCTTATAGGTGTTTCAGTTACGAGAAAAAGGCTCAGGGATCCACTTTTAGACACCGTTCTCTTTATCCCACCGCACATACTTAGTATTAAACAATACATATTAGTCTGTTCTAAATACAATAGTAAGCTACTCCGATATTCTAACCATTTCTCTCAAATATATATGTCAGCCAAAGAACTAGGACTGTAATTCGGTAGTAGAAGTGCTTTCCTAACACGTGTAAGGTTCTGGGTTCAATCCAGAGTAAGTTACAGGGGCTAGGAATGTAGCTTATTTCTAAAATGTTTGTGATATATACATTGATATATATAAGAGGCCAAAACATACAAACCATTGATGGCTCAGCAGGTAAGGGCATGTTCCACCATGCCTCACAACCCAAGTTCAATCCTCAGAACTCACAAAGTAGAGGGGAGAACCAGCAACTCCCATAAGTTGTCCTGTGACCTCCACATTGCACACACACAAATACAAAATAAGTTTAAAATATATAAACAAAAAGCATAAACTCAACTTCAAATCAAAAGTAGAAAAATACAAGCCAGCTACTAAGGAGTCTGAGGCAAGAGAATTCAAAGTTCAAAGGCCAGACGAGGCAACTAAAGGAGACTTCCTGAACTAAAATAAAGTTTTAAAAGGGGGCTAGGAGAGGCTAGAGAAATGACTCAGTAGCTCTTGTAAAGGAACAAACTTTAGTTCCCAACACCCACATTGGGGCTTACAACTGCCTCTAACACCAGTGCCTGGGGATCCAACCCTCTCTTCTGATCTTTGAAGGCTCCTGTAGCACCCATACATACACTCAAATATAAACACATATACACAAAATAAATATTTAAAATAATTTTTTTTTTTTTTTTTTTTGTCATGAAGTCTATGTAGGCCTGACTGGTCTGGAACTCTCTATGTAAACCATGCTGGCCTCAAATTCACAGAGAACTGCCTTCCTCTATCTCCCATTTTTTTTTTTTTTACCTCTCATTAAAAAATATAAAAAGGGTCAAGTGCTGGGATAACTGCTCAGTGATAGTCAACAATTTGCTGAGTGTTTGCTATGTATCAGGGGAATATCAAATAAAGATCATCCTATTTAAATCTAGCAACTCAGTAAATAGTATCTTCATGGAAAAAGTTAAGGAAGTGGGCAGATGAGAAAGCTCAGCAGGTAAAGATGCTTCCTGCCAGCCCTGATTGAGTAAGTTAATCCTCAGGACATAGGTAAAGGGAGGTCAAGAACAGACTCTCAAGTTGCCCTCCTATGCACCCCACAAATGTGATTAAAAAAAAAAAAGCTCAGGAAGTTATACAACTTATAAATGCTATTATTAAAATATAGTAATTGGGCCAGGGAGATGGCACAGTGGGTAAAGGGTTCTTGTTGCCAAGCTTGACAACACAAGCTCAATCTTCGAGACCCACATGACAGAATGAAAGAACCAACTCCTGCAAATTGTTCTCTTACCTCCCTCACCCAAATAAATAAATGTAATAATTTTCAAAGCTCAAATTTAAAATATGCCAGGATCACTATGGTTGATTCTATTCCCATCCCATTACCTGGTAATTCTCAGCCACTGAACTCTGGTCTTTCTAAATGTAATTCATCTGCTTAAAAGTATTTGATCCAAATATTTAACAGGGACTAGAGATGGCTCAGCAGTCGAGAACACTACTGCTTTTGCAAGTAACCTTGGTTCAGTTCCTAGTTTCCACATAGTAGCTCACAACCAATAACTCCAGGGGAATCAATGACCTCTTCTAGCTTCTGGGAAACAGGTATACATGTAGTACACAGAAATACATAAGTACAGGCAAAGCACTCACACATCTAAAATAATCTTAAAAGAATTTTGTTAAACTTATCACGGGCTAGAGAGATAGCGCAGAAGTTATGGTTACTGAATACTCTTATTGAGGACCCGGGTTCAATTCCCAGCATTCACATGGCAGCTCACAACTGTCTGTAAGTCCAAGATCTGACACCTTCACCCAAACATACATGCAGGCAAAAGACCTGTGCACATTATTTATTACTTATTAAAAGAAAAAAGTTGGTCCTTCTTTGCTTAAAAATAAGTCATGGAACTGTTAAATGCAATTATTTTTAAATAATAACCTTCTTAAATATGATGGTGCACACCTATAATCCTAGCACCTAGGAAGTCCAGACTGGATGGGTTCAATCCCCACCACCACCACCACCAATTAAAAAAAAAAAAAAAAGGAGGTAGTAAAAATATGCCTTTAACCCCAGCACTGGGAGGTGGAGGATGAAGACCAGAAACTCAAAGTCATGCTCAGCTACACAACCAAGGTCATAGCCAGCCTGGCTACATAAACCCTGACTTGATAAATAAACACCTAACACAAAGCTGATGCTTGTTTTGAGACGGGGTTTCCTTATGTTGCCCACACTGGCCTGAACTACTGGGCTTCAGAGATCCAGCTACCTCAGGTTCCTGACAAGTAAACTGGCATTTTTAACAAATTAGCATATCTACTAAGGAAGATTTTAGTAATATATACTCTTACTTATTTATAGGCAATGTTTACATTAAGAAACTTCCACCATTTATGAACCACTTAATTTTGTCACTATTTATAATTCAGAACAAAAATCTGCTTCTAGCACAAATGGGAGAGACTGATAAGGAAACAACTGTTACCAAATGATGGCAGAAACATCTCAACTGAAAATTAGTGTTTCTAGTAGCCAGGAAGCCTTGTTATTTTAGGAGTGAGGCACCATTAACAAAATTAAACATCAAATTTTATCACTAAAAATTCAATACTTTAACCCACCAATGGAATAAAATGAAATGAAACAATACAGGCTTTTATCATCTCACTTACATTTTATAACAGGAAATCTTGAATATGTTTTTTAAAACTCCAGCCATGAACAAGTTCAGAAACCTAAAAGGTAGATGGACATATGTTGGCACTCTATTTAATGGGACAGTCCCAATTTTATGTAGAACTTGACTATACAAACTTGACCTTTGTTTTTTTTTTTTTCTTTTCTTTTTAAGTAATTCACTCATATATGACTCTGAACTGGACAGCAGGCAGCTCTTCAACCTAAAAGCTCCTAATTTCTAAATGGTTAAGTTAGAAAAAGTAAAGTTTGTTGTTACAACAGACTACTGATAACCAAAGAGATACGAGTGAGAAATAGTAATTTTAATACATAAATCAGCCAAACATAGAAGCGTACTTCTAGAAGACATGAAGAAGAAAATAATCTAAATTCTAGTTTGAATGTCAACATCTGATCCCTATACAACTTATGGTTTTACTAAGTATTCATATCTACCAAAAAACATCAATTTTTGTTTCTTTTTAGTCTGTAGTCCTGGCTATCCAGGAATTGACTGTGTAAATCATCCTGCCTTGGCTCCCAAGTGCTAGGGATTACAGTTACATGCCCTATGCCTTGCTAGAACCAGCTCCCCCCACCCACCCTCCTCTCTTTGAAGACAGTCTCACCGTGTAAGTCCTGGTCAGCTGGGATCATGCTATGTAGGCCAGACAAAGATCCACATGCTTTTGCCTCCCAAATGTTGTGATTAAAGGTGTATAGCACTAAACCAGAGCACAACCAGCAAACTATTAAATTATATTCTTAAAGTATCCAATCTTAGCCTGTATGGTAGCAAACGCCTGTAATCCCAAAAACCAAAGGTAAGAACAAGAGGAACTTTTGAGTTCAAGGGCCACTAAGTAAACATGAGCCCAATGTAGGCTATTATGCAATGTAGCAAGACCCAAACTCAAGAATATAATTAACTAATTCACTGATTGATTAAAATTAACACTTGCTGCTGTTGATGAAGATGAACAGGGTTCAGTTCTCAGCACCCACATGACAGTTCACAACCATCTATAACTCCTGTTCCAAGAGGATCATCTGATGCCCTTCTTCTGGACTCTTTGGGCACCAGGCACACACACAGTACACAGACAGACAGACAAAGTCATACATACAGACAAAACAATCACACACATTTGAAAAACTGAAAGGGGAGAGGGAGGGAGAGTATGAGAGAGTTGAGAGTTGAGTGTGTGTGTGTGTGTGTGTGTGTGTGTGTGTGTGTATGAGTACTCTACAGTGAACACCAAATTTTTCAACTATCCCAATTATGTTTGTTACTAGTAGAATGGTATTCTAACATGGGACTAAATATCATTACATGCCTTAAATATTCAGATATTTAAGACATGTTCTCAGCCCAGACTGGCCTCAAACTTAATCTGTAGTCAAGAACGATCTTGAACTTTTGATCTTCCTGCCTCCACCTTCATGCTGGTATTACAGGCTACCAACAGAATTACAAATATGTTCTACCTTCCATACCCAGTTTATTCAGTATTGAAGACTAAACCCAGGACCATACGCTTATCATTGACTTACATCCCTAGCCCTAAGATACACTTATTTTGTATCAACATGTAAATAATTACCATATCTAAAATTCTCCAAAAATCTGTATTACAGAAAATACAGTAATTATTTTCTATTTAGTTTGCATATATATTTGGTTCTATATACTACTGTATTTCTTTTAAACCTTTCAGACAGCACAGATGAAATTCATTGGTAAGATTGCTTATGTTATGGTCCTCTAAGCCCTGGGTTTTAGCACAGCAAAATAGGTAACTTTCATCAGAGTTTAAATTTGAGACATCTTTAGAATGGAAGCAATGTTTTGAAACTATTAAGACATTCTTGGTGCAAGAGGGATGGCTCAGTGGGTAAGAGCAGTTACTGAGCAAGCATGAGGACCTGAGTTCAAATTTCCAGAACCCATATAAAAAACTAGCTGTAGCCATGTGCACCTCCCCAGCACTGTGGGAGGCAGAGAAAGGAGACTCAAGGGACTTGCTGGCCATCAGCCTACCTCCAGATTCAGTCAAGATACCCTGGTTTTAAAGGAATACGGCAGACAGTGATAAAGGAGGACACAACATCCTCCTCTAGCACTCTCACACACACTCATATACACTTATTTTCAGATATTCTTAAACCTGTCCTGGTGGAGCATGCCTATAATCCCAGTTCTCAAGAGGCAGAGGCTGAATTGCAGCAAGTTCAGGATAACCTGATCTACCTAATGAGTTTCACAGACCAGCCAGGATTCACGAGATGCTTAAAAAACAGAAATTTAAAAAGCAATAAAAAAATTACTTTGACTAGTAAAAGCCGCTAAACCAGTTGATTCTCAGAAATTCCTCCATTTATAAAACATGAGAATAATGACCAAATTAACAAATCAGATATTAGAATGCCAAAAATTAAGTCATTAAAAGGGAATCCAGAGAAAGAGCCAGTTGTGAAAGAACAGGAAGTGATGTACATTCCATTTTGTGGATGAACTATTTAGAAACATAAGCACCACACTAATCTGGAATCAACTCAGACTCACAGCTCTCAGTATTATTCTCTGACAGTGGCATCAGGGCCAGGAAATAACCCTCAGGCAGTTTTTTCCTTAATAATGAATTTATTTAACTGATCATCAGCACACTTTTGCCACTTTTAGGGAAGAGCTCCTACCAGCTAAAGAGAAGATGCCTTTGTTCAAATATGAAACAGTAAAGCAATTAACATATGTATGTATGTGTGTGTGTGTGTGTGTATATATATACATATATATACACATATATACACACACACACACACACACACACACACACACACACACATATATATATGCCCTGTGTATATCCTTAAGTTTTATGGCCATTACTGATAAATCCACTCTTCTTGCATCTTTCCAAAATAAAATCAGTCATTCTTTCCTGAGCAGTATGTTTGGATTCATACTTACTAGAATGATATGACTCCATTATCAGCAACAAACCATAAAACAGAGAATTAGGTATTATGGCCTATTTTTTCCTGTATGAGAAGAAAACTACATATTCTGCAAATAGGACAACATGCACTGTGCATCATGAAGTAAAGGTTCAAATGAAGCTGGACACAGTAGCTCAGCACTCAGAAGGCTGACTGCCTCCCACTGAAGGCCAGCCAAGACTACACTGTAAGAACCTGCCTCAATAAAAACAATTCCAGGCACAGTGTCACAAGTGAGGCAGAAGGTTCAGTTCAGGGCTAGCCTGTGTACACAACATCTGAAGATCATCTGTACTACAGTGGAAATTACTGCCCCAAACTCTCCCCAAAAAAAAGAGAAAGATTCAAATGAATGGTGCTATTCACATTAAATGAACTGAAATGAATATTAAAAGAAAATAAGGCAGAAATTTTTATTTTTGAGGAAAAACATGATGCACCTTTCCCAAAAATAATGAAATAAATAAAAGAATTTAGGACAGGCGTGGTGGACCACACCTTTAATCCCAGCACACAGCAGGCAGAGACAGGCAGATAGCTTGTGAATTTGAGGCCAACCTGGCCTACATAGCAAGTTAGAGGCCAGCCATGGAACTCATTCACCACTGAATAGTGAGATGCTGTTTCAAAAAAAAAAAAAAAAAATATTCAAACTGGGTATGACGGCACACACCTGTAATTCTAGCACTTGGAAGGTTGGAGTTTAAAGTCATCTTCAGTTATGCCAGCATGGGCTACATGAGAAAGAACTTAAATCAATGTCTATCAGTACTATTACATCTTTAAATACTTGTATTCATAATTTAAAAATAACTCATTAAGTAAAGCTTAGACAATTCATTAAAATAGTTTAGTAATAATCTTTATTACTGCTAATATTCACATATGGAACATTTTAAAATCACTTCACTAGTAAATCTAAACAATTAAAGGAAAGAAAGATGGACCCAGGTGTGGAGGCTTACAGCTGTAATCCCAGCATAAGAGATGGTGAGACAGGAGGATTGCTGAGTTCAAGGCAGTCTGAATACAGAGACCCTGTCTATAAAAGAGGGGGCGGGGAGAAGACTGTACATCAAGACTCCTCTAAGGAAGAAACAGTAAAAAATGTACATCAAGACTTCTTCAGAACTTGAAGGCTAATTTTTTTGTTTCAAAAGGCACTTACCAGAAGCTGAAACTGTTATTTTTACTTCTACTATACTAAGGGCAAAAATCAACAAGTACTACTGCAAACCAAACAAGATGGTTTCATTTAAAGCAAGTATATATAAAGCAAAAATGAAAAAAAAAAAAATGAGGATACAGATCACAACATAACTGGGGGCATTATCTTGCATTTCCTTAAGAAGGAACATCTGCTACTTGAAAGTTTGTAACAATAATTTTCAGAAATTTTCTGTGTCATGCAAAACAGTATTAACCTTAAAAAGTCTCAGCCCAGGGGCAAATGTCTGATTATCAGACAGTTTGAATGTAATAATTCTCCAAGAACTATAAAAGCCAAAGGGGAAAAGGGGGGAGGGGAAAGATATAATTATTTTATTAAATCCTAACGAAAAGTTCCGGCCCCTCCAAGTCTATCCAGGCATAGTTCTCTCTCTCAAAACAGAGCAAGAGAGACATCAAAACTGTTCTGAGGCCATGTCCCAACAGTAACAGGAGCAGACAAAGTTCCCATGGTCAGATCTCAGGTGAAGAATCCCAACAGTATTTGTAATCTATTTTAAAACCAAAGGGGAAAAAAGCTAAGCTCTCCAAGGGATGCGCCATTACTTGCCTCTCCTGCCCCCTCCCCCTCGTCAGTGGGTCCGTGTATGAAGAAACTGACTTAGACTTCTGCAGCATTGCAGTAGACTACAGAACGGGGGGGGGGGGGGGTATGAAATAATGCTTCCATCACTCCTTACATTAGGAAGGTATAGATTTCCTGGGGGGAGGGGGAGATCGTCCAGTCGGCTACCCAGAGCATTCTCCATTCTCAAGAATACAGACACTACAAAGGAGGAGGAGCAGGATGAGCAGAGAGCAGAAAGGGACCTCGCGCCTTTAAATCGGGGTGCACGTCAACTCAAATCTCCCTACTAGAGCCACACCTTCTCAGAAACATCCCCTTCCACCACCTCTTCCGGTGACCCTTAGGAAAAAGGAATGCAATTGCTCTGGCCCCTCCAAACAGGAGGGCGCCCCGCTCACCAGTTTCTTCACCCCACCCACAGACTCACAGACCCTCCTTGTCTCCCTCCCCCACTCTACCCCCAGATCTCTTCTTCCACCCGGAGAGGCCTGAGTGGGCAGAATTTCCCCGCCCCCTCCATGTCTTCCCTTCCCAAAGCAGAGGTGCCCTTACCCCTTCGCCGGCAGGTCTGGGGCGGGGCGGACAGGCGCAGACCCCCGGAGCGCTCCGCTGGCCGCGGCGGCGGAGAGCGGGGAGTGAGGAGGAGGGGGCCCGGCGACAGACCGCCGCCCCCCCCCCCCCCGCCCCCCCGCCCCAGCCGCGCGACCCGGGGCCGGGGGGGGGGGAGGGGACGAGGGGACGACCGGGGTCGAGGAGGCGCCCTTAACGCTCGGGCTCAGTTAAGATGGCGCGGGGGAAGTGTCGGGAGCCGCCGCCGCCGCCGCCTCGGGGGAACCGGCCCGGGCCTCGGCCGCCTCCGGTCCTCACAGCCGAGGCCCTGGCGGTCCCCCGCCGCGGCCCCTCGGCGGGCGGGCCCACGCGCACCCCTCCGCCGCCCCCACCACCCCTGGAAGGGCGCGCTCACAAAGGGAGGAGAGGCCGCGGGCCGGCGGGCCGCGGGGCGGGGTCCCCGGGGGCCGGGAGGCCTGGGAGGTTCGCGACTGCTCCGCGCTCTCGGCCCACGGCGGGCGCAGGGCGCGCGGGACCCCTCCTCTCTCCTCGGGCGGGCGGCGGCACCGACTCACTGTCTTCGCCACCCTCCCTCTCTCCTTCCAAGCCCTGAAGCCACAGAGCTCAGCCGCTGCCCGGGTGGCCCCCCCTTCTCCGACACCACTCCCCTCCTCCCGACAGACATCTCAGTCTCAGATCTCGCGAGACTCCTTGCCTGACAGGCCCGACCCTGCGCGAGGCACGGCTGCGTGCGCGCGCGCGCGCGGCCCCGGGAGCGCAGGCTGGCTGGGCTGCCCCGAGTGGTAGGTTGGGGCCGGTCCCACCCTCAGCTCGCCCTTGCCACGCGGGCGTCAGGTGCATGCCATTCAGCCCGGAAGTCCGAGGGAGAAGAGCTCATCACGCTCCTCTTCCCACCTCCAGAACATCAGCCTTCCACACTAACACTGCCAAAGTGAAACTTTGCTCCGAAGAGGAGAACGTCTCACTCCTGCACACCTCAACCGGACGCCTCGTGGGATCCTGGGACCATCTTGGCGGCATAGTCACTGTGTACCTGCGTTTGCGTGATCCCAATAGTTGAATAGTAAGGTTGAGAACGGCGGTTAGACTTGCCTGTAAGCCATTCTGTATATTTGTGATGGAAGGGACTTCAGAGGGCTTTGTGGACTCTGAGTTGAGAAAACTTCTTCGGTATAAAAGAAGCAAACTTGGCCAGGCGTGGTGGCGCACCCCTTTGACCCCAGCACTCAGGAGGCAGAGGCAGATAGATCTGAGTTCTAGACTGTGGTCTACACAGTGAGTTCCAGATCAGTCGGGGATACACAGTGAGACCCAGTCTTTAAAAACAATCAAAATAATTCTCCATCTGGTAGTTTTTGCTCTCCCCTCTCCCTTACACACACACACACACACACACACACACACACACACACACATGCCTGAAATCACCTCTTATCCCTGGCTAGCATGGGACTCCTTATGAACAGCTGAACTGGTGTTAAGGAACCAACAGGTGAGCTGATCGTGACAGTGCACACCTGTATTCTGCAATCCTACCGTACAAGAGGCTGAGGCAGGAAATCGTGAGTCAGAGGTGGAGGCCAGCTTGGGGCTACATATTATATACAGATGGAGTGAGAGGGTTCAAAAGTTGAGAGCAAGTACTGCTTGCTCTTGTAGAGGACAGTTCAGTTCCCAGCAGCCATGTGGGGCAGCTCCTAACCAACTGTAACTCTAGCTCCACAGTATCCAATGCCCTCAGGTCCCTTGGATGGACTCCTGACTTTGTGTGCGTGCTCAAACTTTTTTATTGGGCTACGGTGATGCACATTTTTAATTCCAGCACTCAGAAGACAGACATAGGAGGATCTCTTGTTAAGTTTGAAGCCAGCCTGATCTACAAGGCAAGTTTAAGGACAGCCAGGGCTACATAGAGGGACCCTGTCTCAAAAAACAAATTAATAAACATGTATACATAGGTGCGTGTGTGTGTGTGTGCGTGTGAGTTTTTCTATTGTGGTGGCCCATGGCTATAACCCTCCCAGCGTTTTGGTGTTTGCTGTAAAGTCAGGAGAATCAGCACTTCAAAGTGAAGGCTATCTTATCATAAGAAGTTTGAGACAATCTGAGTTATATAAAACTCTATCTCAAAAACAAGCAAAGACACAAAAAGAATGCCTAAAGTCATTTAAGAAAACATACGTAAGCCGGGTGCAGTGGTGCATGCCTCTAATCCCAGCACTCAGGGAGGCAGAGGCGAACAGATCTCTGAGTTTGAGGCCAGCCTGGTTTACAAAGCGAATCCAGGACAGCCAAGGCTACACAGAGAAACCCTGTCTCCAAAAAACCAAACAAAAAGAAAAAGGAAAAAAAAAGAAAAAACGCATATGCTGGGCTAAGGCGAGAGCTCAGTGGATAAAGTGTTCGCCACACAATCAGGAGGTCATTCCTTTGGATCCCCAGTACCCACATATAGGGCAAGCAGAGATAAGAGCATGCCAGGGACTCACAAGCAGCCAGTCCAGCCAAGTAGGGCAAATTCCAGGTTTAGTGGGAGACCTTGTCTCAAGAAGTAAAGTGAAGGGTTAGCAAGATGACTCAGTGGGTGAAAGGTCTTGCCTTGAACGCCTGATGATCTGAGTTCAATCCCTGGAACTTAAGCAAAGGTAGAAGGAGAGAACTGATTCCACAAAGTTGTCCGCTGACCTTCATACCTTTCCCCTGTAGTATTCGTACCTACATACACACATTATACACCCACATACTAGGCAGGTAGATCTCTGTGAGTTCAAGGCCACCCTGATCTACATAGTGAGTTCTAGGACAATGAAATATAGGTAGAGAGACCTTATTTCAAAAAAAAAAAAAAAAATGAAGACCATAAAACAAGACACTTGATATGTGTGTCTGGTGTCCATATGCACAAGCTCCCATTTACACACACCTACACATACACATACATATACAAAATTATAGACTACCCTGGTGGCAGCATATAACTGTAATCTCAGCACTTGGAAGGCTAAAGCAGGAAGAGCATGAGTTCCAGGCCAACCCTGGCTACATAGTAAGACCAAGTGTCAACAATGACAGTGAAAAGAAGGAGGAGAAAAGGAAAGGAAAAATCTACAGCCTGGGTAGAGTTCAGATGTACAAGTGTTGCCTACCATGCAGAAGGCCTTAAATTAGATTCCCCAACACCACAGTGCTGCTCTTTAACCAACATAACAACTGCAATAAGTAGATCTGTCCTGGGAGTTTTATGAACAGAACTTTACTTTGAAAATAAATATAATTTAATTTGAAAAATTCAAAATTTCAGTAAACTAAGGTAGTAAATTGGCCAGGATCAGAAAAGCAAGCCCTCTGCTTCAGCGGGATGTGGCTTGTTCTCAACACTTTTGTTGGAGTCCAGAGCCTTCCTGGAGTCATTGGTTCCTCTCTCTGCCTCACCCACTCTCAAATGACAACTTCCTCTCAACATAAAACACTCCAGCTATTTTCTCCTAGGAAATGGGGAGAGCTATCTTCATCTCCCTTGCCCTTCACAACCAGTCTTTTTTGATAACATAGCCATCTTTCACCACCACTAATCACATTTGACCTTGGTTGCTATATCTAATGAAGACATTTAATCCTTTTCTTCCTGTAATCTATCATATGTGACATCCATGACACTCCTTCCACCTTGAATCTATCCCTACTCGGCTTTTCAAAACCCCTCAAAAACAGTCTTTCTATCTTCCTTTCCTGCCAGGGCCTCTCTTCCTCCACCCAGCACTTAAAATATATGTCTCTCTAATTTTGGTCTGTTTCAGCAAGAGATTGTCACCATAAGAATGCCCCTCCCCCCCCCAGCCTGAGGCTATAACCCTGTAGTAGAGCACATGCTCATCATATGGAAAATCTGAGTTCAATCACCAGGACATGCACACACAATGTTCTCTGCTACCTAATTATTTTATGTATGGAAATGGAAAGAGATTTGAACCTTCCCCTAGTATTTCTACGGGAAACTTCAGATACAACAGATTTAGAATAGAATAGCAGTCTCTGTGCCTGTCATCCAGCTTTACCTGTCTGCAACTTTTTTTAGGGAGTGGAGGTGGGTTCTGAGACAGGGTTTCTCCGTGTACTTTGGCTTTACTGGACTCACTTTGTAGACTAGGATGGCCTCAAATTCACATTGATCCGCCACCTCTGCCTCCTGAGTGCTGGGATTACAGTTGTGCACCATCACACTCAGCCGTTTGCAACCTTTTTTGTGGTCTCTTGTACCCCAGGCTGGCCTCAAACACTCTGTGTGGCTAAGGTTGGTCCTTAATTCCTAATCCTTTTGTCTCCAACTCTTAAATGCTTGGATTACAGACATGTTCTACCCTATCTAGCTAACATTTTAGTTTTTTGTTGTTGTTTGGCTTTTCAAGAAAGGGTTTCTCTGTGTAACCTTGGCTGTCCTAGAACTCACTCTGTAGACCAGCCACACAGGCCTCGAACTCAGAGATCTGACTGCCTCTGCCTCCCAAGTTCTGGCCTTAAAAGCGTGTGCCATCACTACCTTGCTTTGCCACAACATCTTTATACTATCTGTGTAAAATTTTAATAGCATTTAATTGTCAATCCATGGTCATTTATCTCAGTAATGTCCAAAATATCTTTTACAGTTCATTTATCTAAATTGGAATTTGAACATGATTCACTCTTTACACTCCATTAATAAATATTCATCCTCACCTTGTTTTCATGTATAAAACATTTCCTGCTACTTATGCCTTCTTAGTTTGTCTTTTTTTTTTTCTTCACCATCATTTGTTTAAAGCTTACTTGCTAAAGAAATGAGATCGTAATGCCAGACATGCCCATAATCCCAGCACTCAGGAGACTAAGCAAGAGGATTTGCTTCAAGTTCAAGGACAGGCTGAGCTACTGTGGAACCCTGTCTCAGAAAGAAGGAAAGCAAGCAAGAAAGCAAAAAAAGAAAGAAAGAAAATAAGGAAGAAAGGAAGGAAATATCCGATAGAATTTTTCTACATTTTGGACTTCAGCATATCTTCATGATGTCATTCACATTTGCTTCAAAGCTCATATTTCTTAGAAATTAATAGTTAAATCTAAAGATT